TGTTCCACGTGGTGATTTGCAAATGCGTCATAGTCTCTGCCTTTGTATTCCTCGGAGTGTAATTTGTACCAATTCATTAAGTGATTCTTTACTGATAATTATATCACTCTTACTGGGTTCCGGGTTTTCGACCTGGATGAAGTTCCCTAACGCAATATTTCTACACGGGCCTCAAGATCCTGCTGGCTAGGAGAGTCACGAGTTTCTGCTTTCAACTTTCCTGCCCCGTTTGCCATGTCCTCACTTGTGCTACGCTGCGTAATCACGGTCAAGGAGATTTTCACTATGATGATTATTACGAGCTTCGCCGCATCCTGACGCTGAGCTGATGCACTTTCAATTGCCTGAAAGGATAGCTGCGTATTCCTTCACCTAACTTACTGCCGTCTATTCAGGATTTGGGGTTGAATTTACCAACTGCAGAAGTGTGACGAGGGTCATCTTTGACTTATTGCCAACTTCATGCTTTCTCGATCGTTTCTCCGGATGACTACTCCTACTTCTAGCACCTTCAGCAGTGCTGGTAGGTGTCTCTGAACTTCATTATGTGGCAGTTGTGGTGCGTGTAGAGGAGTGAGATTACAATCTGGTGCAGTTGCTTGTCGTTTCTGTGCAAATCGGAAAGAAAATGATTCTTCTCAATATAGATGTATGAATTGTTCTTGCTTTGTGGTCTCAATGAAAGCTGAATATCTTATAAATCTTAATGTGAAATCCAAACTGCTATCAAGGAAATATGCCATGACTGTTCAATAATATCATGCAGTAGGAAGGCGCAGTAGCGGTTATATCTCAAGTTCAATGTGTTCCTTTAATTCAACCTAGTTTTAAAAAGTTTTTCTAGAAATGTAAAAGATCGTGCCTTCGGTGAGAATATGAGCAGCATCGTTCATTTCAACATCCGAGTATGGACAAATGGGGTCGAGACAAGGACAGTCAACTGACGTAGTGCAACTGATCCACGTTGAACGAAGATTCCCTTCCGAAAACAGAGGAAGAGGCTAGACCTGTCAACGAATATTTAAATTTGGATGGGTTGTTGTTGTGCTTCGCTCAGTTTTACTAGATGCTGATTGAGACAAATTCAGGTTTTGCATTCATACGAACATTGTGCTACTAAAGTTACCAATTGTAATTTTGAAGTGCTACTGGGTTGCTGTAGTTTTCATTCCTCATCGAGAACCACTGTTTACTTCATTTATCATTTTATTATCTCTGACCCAATTTTTTTCAACCAGGTGGTATTAGAAGGTAGATGGTCGCAGGGCTTCATGGCTATGGCAGCTGTTGGCGCAACCAATGTCGGCTCAATAGAGGTCTGACCCGTCTTGTATGACCTTGATTTTGTCGCTTGTTTTTAAAATCACATTGAACATGTGAATCGTTTCGGAACTATGATGATAAATCGTGTATGTTTCTGACAAAGGCATCTCAATTTTGCAGTTGAAGTTTGAACCTGAGCTGAAAACAAATATTCCAAAAGTAGGATTATCTTGGGCCACCATAAACTCACGCACTTATATGGACAAAATGGTCTTAATGTGAAAGCAGGGGAAGAGGTATGCTTGCAAACTATCCTATTTTCAAACACAGTTCTGTCCTCTCAATGACCTGAGAATTTTGCCAGACGTCTGTTCTTATATCAGTGCCGAATGAACCTGGTCTCTCATCTGTTCTGACCTTCTACTTGATTCATGTGTTGTGTACAGGTGGCAGTTTTTAACCTTGGATCCACTGTGGTTCTTGTGTTTGAAGCACCTTCAGAAGAGACAGAAGAGTTATCAGCTCATGAAAAATCCCGGTCTGAGAGTAGAAATTTTAGATTCACAGTAGCGAATGGAGAGAGAATAAAGATGGGGCAAGCACTAGGAGACTGGTAGTACTTTTCACCTTGGAAGGTGGTCTGTTTTATCGTCAAAATCATTCATATAAGCAATGCAATCGCTTTGTGTCAGTTAATGACACGAGAAGAGTATTTAATGCTATCCACTGCAGAAATTCACCACGATCAACTTCCTCCCAAATGCGCACTTGTACTTGAATAATCTTTCCCAGGATTTTTTACTCGTTTAGGCTTTGGTCATCACGGCGTGATGGAAGGAGGTTCGCGGCTGCGTTAATCTACTCTGAGTCTCCGGTATGGGGTTAAGGCAGACCTCCTTAATAGTGGCATTTGCTAATTTTGCCACCTTTTCGTTAATTGTGGCGTCCAATATTTCTGAAAAGTGGCATTTGTATTGACAAACTGATGTGACAGTCTTGAAACCATAAGAGATTGAGCTTATTTCACGAGAACGCCAGGCAGGGTGGTTTCTCTGTTTTGGTTAACTTAGGTTCCGCCCTCATGATATTCATCGGACAGCTAAAGCCATGAATTTAGAAGATTCCATGAACGGGCCGCATGATTGTTCACGGTGAGGATGCTCAGAGCACAGAGTGCCAGTCCGTGAGAAGAAATGAATTAGAAGTCCGTGATCCAAACGATGAGGATACGCGGCTTCAACTGAATAGTGACAACTTCCAAAATCCAGGAGACGTGAACTGTATTCCTCCTCAAAACCTCATCCGAAGATGAGTGATCTCACCTGTCTTCAATCCTAGGGGTAGGGGTCGGCCCGCCTCGTCACTGAGGGCTCCTCAGAAAAGGGGGAACGCGAGCTCTGCCCGGTGACGAGGTCGGCCCGGCTCCGGCTTGAGCCGGCTTCGAGCGGGCTTCGGAGCCGGCTCGATTCTGGGAGAGCGGCTCAAGCCGGCTTCTTGACAGGCGATTTACCGCTAATGAATGGATCACAGGTCAGCATGGTATCGATCACGCAAAGAGATTGGCTCACAGTAAAATTTCTCTATATCTTCGTCTCAGAGGCAGAATAGTTAAGTGGATCTTTCACCTGGTGACCAATTGTTATTGTTGTTAAGAAAAGATGTTACATCATTTTGCAGTAGTGACTCACTAGGGGTCGGCTCGGCTCCGGCGGAGCCGGCTTCAGACCGGCTCGGCTACGACTTAGTCGAGCCGGCTTCTGTCATGGCGATCGGCTCCGAGCTGAGCCGGCTCCATGAGCTGAGCCGGCTCCAGCCGAGCCGGGCCGACCGCTACCTAGGGGAGAAACTCGGTTTCATACCCAGAATATTCTGGCATTAGAATTATAAAAACTTTCGCCATATATATAATTCTGTTTTCTTTCGAAAATTAGATCCATCAGATGATCATGCCTTACTTGGATTTCTGTACACAATCGCTCAGAAACACTAACACTAAACACGGGCTCAAAGGCTTAATTGTGACATCGACCCAAATTTAATTGTGGCAAAAGTGACACTTTTTAAGAAAATGCCACTTTTCAGGAGGTCTGGCCCCTCTTTAAGCTGAACTGCACTACCCGATCGTTTCAATCGCACCAACCACGCAACAGGGTAATTGTACTTTTAAGTTACATTAGAAAACAACTCTGAACACTGATAAGTCATCCTTTCTTTGTAATTCATCATTTCCAGCCAAAGTTGCAATCTGACTATTGAAAAATCTATCTACACCTCAAAACTTCAATTGCACAAGAAGTTGCTCAGCTGTCTCGTCTACCACTCTCACTCTTCCATACTCTTCTCTGTTCTTGCTAAACCTGTGTCTGTTTTTCATGATCCCGAAGGACTTTCAACTTCTTGTGCAATGGGAGTTTTGAGTTGAGAATGAAATTATCAAGAATCAGATTGCAACTTTGGCTGGATACAAAGAGTTGACGTGTTTTGTGTCCACTAAATGGACACACAAGAGGCAAAATGCATAAAAGGTGACCACTAAATGGACGCCTATTATGCACACTTCTTTTGAAAAAATGCACAATTTTTCGCAATTTTATTTCCCTAGGAAATATGAAAGATACTTCGAAGTCTTACCTTAACTTTAAGACTTAAGGATAAATAGGAAACTTAAGTTAGGGAGGATATGACAAATACTCAAGATTCCTTTACGACCAGTAGACGTTGGGAGACAGCTCATACCAAATCCGACCACTCACTTCGAGTCAAGAATTCCGTAATGCCACTATCCGAGATTAGAAATATAAACTAAATTAAATTATTATATGTTATCTTTCTCGAATTTAGAATATCTTGAAGACCTATGGCTATCTGGAAGCTCCAAATATTCTCCAAGATGAATGGATCTTCCATCTTTCTCGCGGAATGATACTCGGAGTTAGCTCTTCAATCTTCCTTCAGCATCCTACGGACTGGCTCTGAACTGCGAGCAAACAAAGAACATCGAATTCTATCGAACTCAGCAGCGTAATAACTCTTCATTCATACCCACATGGTGAATAATTTCTTCCTGAGACCCATACGCTGCAATCCAGAGGAACAAGCATCAAGACAGCAGTCACGTTGTGCTTAAGAGATGCTGGTAGAATTCACTTTGGCGATGTTAGGTGTTTGAGAGCATTCCGAAGAATCATTCTCAATTATCCATGAACATCGTACTTGTGGTAAAATCTGCAATTCTGTTATTTTTTTATTATACTCAATTATTTGTTATTGTTTTCCTACCCATCAACTTGATAGTACTCACCCATAACTGTAGCTGGACAGGATACTTCGTGATTCTCCGAGAGACCTGAAAAGCAATCTGGCACGCGGTTATGCTTTGACTATTGTGTAGCCGGACAGGATACTTCGTGATTCTACGAGACCTGAAAAGCAATCTGGCACGCGGTTATGCTCTTGAAAATTGTGTAGCCGGACAGGATACTGCGTGATACTTCTGTCCGCATCTTCAAAGCAAGAAAAAAGCACAACAGGCTTTGTCCACCGTGCTGACTACCCATGACTACCCATGTGCCTCTCAGTTGTCAGACTACATCAACTTGCTTTAATAGTCCACAGATTCCAGGAAAAAGCATTCAATGAAGATGACGATTGAAATCTCTGTTTTCAGCGTGACGACATCGCGTGTATCAGCACACTGATGCATTCACTCAATTATCACGTTCGCTTGCACAACAACGTCAAGATTCGCTTTGACCTTCTAAGAAAACTTTCCACTCACACCGAGTATGGAGGACCACGCTTGTTGTGTTCGTTTGTTGTCTTGACCTCGATCATCCACAATCTAAAGAGAAGATCCGATGATTAAGCTGCAAATTTCTACGCGCTACACTTTGGAGGGTCTGTCTTCCCCGTGGGTGTTGATGCAGCTAGATTCGCATTCTCTGCGTTCTCCCCGTCCAGCTAGATTCGCATTTTCCCCGTCCAAATAGACCTGGAGTTTTACACAAGGCAGAGTGCTTCACATCTCTAATATCTGCGATTCCATGCTTTCCATGACATTCTGAGACCACATAGCTTGATCTTTGCTACGAACTAGTTTTTTGGATTTCAGATTCACCTGCAGAGCTTAGAGCTTGTCCACTCAATTGGGTCACCAGTGCAAATCAACCAGCTCTTTCCGCTCGACTTCACAATAGGTTTGAAGTCCCCTTTGCACAAACTCTAGTATTTGATTTGGAATCGAAATAGTGATTATTTGTGTTTGATTTTGATTCACATAGCTTGTCTTGCCCTGCAGTGAGTCCGAACAACCTCTTACTTCCAGTTTGCGCAATCTCCCTGCGTTCGTTGTGATTGCTCTTGATCCGATTGTTTCCAGAGGTAAGATTTATCTTTGTGTATCTCCTCATGCAGAGTGCAAGAAGTGTCATGCCCAACACGCACATGCACACAAGTTGTGACAGTGCGACGGGAAGTTAGTGCTCTTCGGGTGAGCTGGTCCTTTGGATCGAGGAGGAGGTCTCATGTAGGCCAGGTGACATTTCGCTCGCGCATGCCAAGCAGCAAACGTTTCTTACTCTGTGCGAGTGGAGGAGAGAATGGAAGGTGCAGGTGCGTCCATAGTCAGTCACGCTGCTGAGACACGGGGAATGGACTCTGCATACGAGGAACCGGAGCTTCCCTTCGCTGTCCAGGACCTTATATGGCGTCTGGAAGGAAAAGGCGAGCCTATGACGACGCTTCCCTATTTACGACAGCGAGAATTGCGGAAGTTCTTTCCCAAGCGTGCATCGCTCTCGACGATCACAGGGTGGCGAAGCAAAGTGCGCCTTCGAGTGCTGGAGGCAATCGGCAACTGCAACACTCTTACACACCTACACGTGTTAGATATTTGTAGGGGAGATATGTCGATGTTGACGGCAAGCGAGTGGGAGGTAGTTCTCAGAGGATTCATGTCTAGCACCGTTATAAAAATGATAATCCTTTACTTTTACTCACATGAGGAAGTTGAGAGCTGGATTTCAGATGAGGAAGTGGAGAGCTCGATTTCAGATGAGGAAGTTGAGAGCTCGATTTTAGATGAGGAAGTGGAGAGCTTTTGTTTACTGATAGGGAGAATTCTGAATTCCTCTAGCGTACAAGTATTGAGAATACAATCTTGCAAGTTGAGTGCCAGATGTTTCTTGAATCTCGCCTCAGGACTGCGAGGAAATTCCGATTCTAAACTCCAGCGGTTAGAGTTATTGGGTGACGCGTGGGAGGACTCGAGTGCCGTGAAGCATGTGGCCGACATGATCAACAGTGCTCCTCGATTAGAAACGTTGGGTTTATACCGTATGGGAGCCATGGAGGAGGAGTACGTTGGAATCCTGTCCCAGGCTTTGATTCAAAGCTCGTCATTGAAGGAATTGTGGTTAGAGAAGGTGGAGTGGGGAGCGGCCTTGTTGCTGAAAGCTTTGGCCGGAGATGATGGCAACCGATCCATTGAACTCCTTTACCTGCAAAGGATGGATGGACTCGGAGGCTGTTTAACGGAAGTTCTTACCTCCAACCCATCATTGAAGGAAGTGACGTTACGGGAAGTAAAGATGAGTCCTGAGGAATGGCACCAGCTCGGCGAAGTCATACGTGACCAGGCTAGAGCAACATACTTTACCGTTCAGTTTCTTTCGTTTGAATGGTTTGAATGGGAGTCAATAGAAGCTCTTGCGTGTGCTGCTAGCTCCGAAGTCAAGGACCCCGTAGTGGATCTTGCACTCTATTCTGGCAATGAGGATGAGTTCATGTTATCAGGAAACCTCTTAGGTAGGGTACTGCGCGGAGAAATCAAATCTCTGAAATCTTTCACTATCTTCGCGGTATGGATTGACACTTCAGGTACCAACCAACCGGAAAGTATCCTGTCCATGAATGGAAAAACTGGAGAAACTTCCGTCTTGAAGAAACTCCTATTACAGGTTGGAAGCAATGATCTTTGGAAGGGTCTACTGAAGGACCTGCTTTTGTGCCTGCGAGGGAATACAAGTCTCATTCACTTAGATTTGTCTTATTCCGAACTCGACGAAGAGACGTTTATAGACCTAATGGAGCTACTCCAAGTGAATTTGACTCTCCAGGAAATACGTGTCAGAGGAACCTCATGGGCAAGGGACGGAAAGGCGGCGCTGATCGATGAGGCCCTCAAGCAAAACCAGCAGCGGGCTGTCTACATGTCCGTATTCCGTGAAGCCAAATTAACATTTGGAGATGCAAAAGCTGGTCGGCTCTTCTTATGCGGCTCTCCTCTTGCAGGTAACTTGCTCTGCAAGCTCTCAGTTTTTTGAACCAGCAATATGAGGTTTTACTTTTCAAATTTAAGATTAAATTATGTAGTTTATTTATTTATCTAGATGGTTTGAATTTGTGTGAAATAGAAAACAAAAATATAAGAAACAAAAAGTGAAATGCGAATAAATTCCAATTTAAATAATGTATTTTAAAATAATTTCAAATTTGATTTGAAAATCGGATTTTTCCTCACTCTGATTAAAATGCTTAATGGTATGATTAGATAATCTCTCAAGTAACAACTTATTTTTGTTGTGGTTATGTGTATTCAATTTATAGGCAAGACTCAATTACGTCAAACATTGGTACACGGAAAAAAATGGTACCGAAAGCCATGGGCCAAATTAAGGAGGAGAAGGACCGAAGGAATTGAAGTGGAGTTTTTGCAAAACAATGACAAAGGTCAAATCTCAATTTGGGATCTTGCGGGACAAGAGATTTTCCGTACCCTTCAAAGTGTGCTTTTCCCTCCAAGTAGCAATTTTTGTGTTTTTCTATTTGTGTATAGCCCTTTCTGTCAGATCACATCTTCGAACAAAGCAGAATCTGATTTTGAGACAGAGTTGGAGGAATGGTTGAGTTTCATCACATCCAGCACGAGGGTTATCGGACATAATCTTCCACAAGTTCTTGTTGTGATTTCACACAAGGATAAGGCCATAGACAGTTCTTTGAGTTGGGCTAAGTTCATAGTGAACAAGCTCTCTGAAAGATTTGCAAGATTTGTGTATATCCACCCTATTCAAGACTGTTGTCATGTGGATGCTCGAAAAAATAAGCAAGTTATTCCTCTCAAACATCATATTTTTGAGATCTTTGAGAAGTTTTTGAAAAAAAAATCTCCACAAGTTCCCTACTTGTGTTCTCAACTCTCGTCACTCTTGGTTAAAAACACCAAGGAGAATAGAAGTGGCCCTCTTTTGTCATCCCAAGAGTTTCGTGAATTCTGTGCTCCCCATTTGACACAATTTCTTTCATCCTCTTCTGCTCAAGCCTTTGATCATTCAAGGATACAAGTTTCAATCACATCATATTTGAATGATGTTGGATCCATCATTTCTATTCCTAACTTTGATCACATCATTGTAGATCCAAACTGGCTCACACATACATTATTAGGTGAGCTTGTAGCGCTGGGTCAAGACTTTCAAGCTCTTGAGACTCCAACTTTTGAGAAAAGGATGTCACGTGACTCATTTGCAAGCAAGGACGGATTTGTGAGTGAGAGAGACTTTGGTCGGTTGATAGACAAGTTTCTGGAAAAACAGTCACCTAGAAAGAAATTTGTGGACAGAAAGGTGATTGAAAACATCCTTATCCATTTAGATTTGTGTTTCAAGGTGGAAGATACTTCTCTTCCCTCTTCATTCATTCATTCATTCAGATACTTCATTCCCTCTTTCATACCTGAGCATGCAAGCACTGAAGGACAGGATCATCAAGGATTGGCGCACGTGGAGTCGATGGGTTGGGATTCTAGGGATGAGACTTCAAAGTTTGTTGGCATTCGGATTCAATGCCAAGATGAAAGAACAATGTCACTGACTGCTGGTTTTTTCCCATGCTTCCAGGTGATTTCATATATACTGTGAGAAAATTAAATGCATTGAGTTTTGATTCTAACGTGTGTACGATGAATGAAGTGTTAACTTTTCGTTAGTTGAATTCAATTTTGGAATGCGCAGCTGATTATTTACCAAAATTTTTATCATTGTAGATGTTCATGAGACGGAAGTTGATATTGGAGATGGATGTTTCCGAGAAGACTATGATCTACTCTCGACATTATCTGCGACTTGTCATTGACGGACATGAAATTTATATCCAGCAAGACAGGTCCAAGAAATACGTGGATGTTCTGATGTTATGCTCGAAGCATAAGTCAAGGCAGGTTGCTGTGAAATTCGTGATGAAGCATTTCGTCAAGGAGTTGATATCATTTTGCGCATCCTCCAAAGGCTCTCCCGGGGTGACGTTAGTGCTCGGTGTGATACAAACACTTTGCGTGGAGATCCTGATTCCGAGTCACATGAGAAGGGCAATTCTAGTCGAGAAACTCAAATCGAATTTCATTCGTAGCATCAATGGCGAACTTGAGGATATTCCCTTGGATAAGTCTCATTTGGAGAAGGAGGATGAGTTGTTCAACTATGAGCACTCTTGGCCCTTGATTGAAGGATACACAACAAAGGTTATATCCGAAAGAGCTAGGGATTTGTTGTGGGAGAGCGATGTGGAAGAGGTTGTGAATGAAATCCGACAGAAGCGAATGCAACAATTGGAGTCATTTCAGCAAGACCTTATCCAACAATTGGGGTCATTGCAGCAAGGTTTAGAGGAAGTGAACAAAGATTTGATTCATTCTTACGCTGAAGATGAGAACGTGGTTACCAATGCAAATTTTCCTGATGTGAAAGATTCCAATCAACCTTCATCCAGTTGCATAAGTCGGGTGAGCACAAGTGTGAAAAACCTTGATACCCGACTTGTTTTGGAAAAGATGGATCAACTAGAAAAAAAAGTTGATGGTGTTGATGAGAGGTTGAGATCAATGGAGAAAATTTTGCAGAGATTGGAGATGAAGGTGGAACAGATACTCTCTCTACAAAAAGAACTGCAGTCAACGCGGAGTGATTTCATGTCCAAAGTGGACAGGATTCTTGAGTATTCTCAAACGTTGCAGCATTCCAGTACGCCCAAGCGACCTTACATTACGAACAATGTTGGCCTTTTCTATAGGATGAGTGCTACTTTGCATGCCGGGACAACCGTCCGCTTACACTTGATGTGTGAGTCCGCGACCGGGTTTCACCCTGTCAGAGATCAAGAAGGTTTGAAGATACGCTTGGATCGGAAGGATTGTGAATGGATTCAAAAAACTATTGAAATCTCATTCAAATTCATGTATTATGCTGTGAAGGCTGGATTGGATGTGACTTTCGGGTTGGGCCAAGCAATTCCGGAGTGGGAAGATTTGAAATCTGATATTGTTAAGTTAGATGGCATTAGCGATCGTGATCGTAGTGCAGTTTCAAAAGTTGGGGAAAGCAAGGAGCTGAGAGAAGCATGGTCGAGGATTCAACAAACTCTTGCGCCACAGCTTCGAGATAGGTATTCGGCAACCTTCAAGTTGTATCAGGTGAAATACGTGAGACAAGAACTAGGTGGGCATGCATGGGTGTGCGAGGAGTGCATGAATGAAGGTCTTAGAACAGGCATTTTGTTAGGAATTTGAAGACCTTAGAATGTCATGATGCAAATGACAAGCATATGTTCAGACACTCATGCAATGTGACGCTCTGCAAAATCCTCCTTCGTGTTTTCACGTTCACATGTCTTTTCTATGCAATCATATCAATCGTGGAGTTATGTTTCTGAAGATGATCAGTATATGGCTGAATAATCATAATTACATTTTGAGGACCATGTTTCAAGTGGGGCTTGTTGCAAGTCTCACCATGATGAAATCCCTTCACTTACACGGTGGGTAACTATACTTTAACCTGACGTATATATTTAGGAAGAACTTCTGAGAAGCGTTCTTTGATGTGCATTTGCGGTACTTAGCGGCCAGTTTTCTCTTAGAATGTCCCTGACTCTCTCCACTAAGCTTATGCTTATTCATGCGGAAAGCGATGAATCAAACCAATAGCTTAGCTTCGATTAGTTCATCTGTATGCTTGGAATATAGATTGTTACAGCATTCGTCTTGAACTTGCCTTCTATAGAATTATATCATTCCCTTCATCCTGTAGAAGCTACAATCAGTACGTACCACAGTTTTAGTGAGTGTTCTAGCCTTCCAGCTTAAAAGATTAAAAAAGCCTTGACGATACAAGTAGAATCGTTACACAAAACCTCGACTATTATTCAATTCTATAAGCAAAAGAATCCATCTTAATTTATGATCTTCAACAGGTCTGATACTTAGTCACTGAACGTTGATATATGCACGTTTTAATCGCTAACAGAAATTCCAACTGTACTGACGGTCCTACATATATCCCTGTTAATGAGTACACAACTTGTCACTGATCCAAAAAGACTGGGAGGAAATAACAGAATGATCTGACTCCACATATAATCGTCAGTTCCGAAGACACAATTTGGTGTCAAACCTGATCTGATTCAAACTGTAATTGCAGCTTGACCACCACCTTCCACTTTCCACTATGATCTCGAGTAATCAATCACCTCGAGACTATTATGAGTTCAGAAATCGTGATTGAGGTTCATGTCACCCACTTTGTACAGTTCACTGTTGAAGACTTGTAGACTCTGGTCCGGTTCAGATGCATTCTATCTCATATCGACAAGTATTTCACCTAGCCAGGTGTTGTGGAATATAAAGCTGACTCCTGCAAGAGTATAGTATGGTATGGGGAGTTACACAAGATCAAAACCTTGGTGTGAATATGAATGTCATACTCATGGATCCCTGATTATTGGTTGTCTAAATTAGAATTTCTGCTCCATGTCTACTCAAATCACCTACTCAGTATTGATAGGAGACGAGGTTCTGATTGATGGAATTTTGAGACGGCAATGGTCATATGAGCACAAAACATGGCCAATTACCATAACTCATGGATTGCAAACAGTTCTCATCAGATCATACCATTTCAAGATGTATCTATCCTAGAGAGGCCAACATTATAAGAGGAAGATGATAGCTGTCAATTTAATGATAATGATAATGATCTTGTTTAGCTCATTGTAAACAAATCAAGATACTCATTTGTTTGTAGAGAATTGAACATAGGTCAAACTTTTAAAAAGATGACCTATATCTCACATACTGGAAAGTCTGAATTTCCAAATTTTTGTAGCTAACAATACCTGAAGACCTATTGCAGTCACTACTATTTCCAACCTGGATGATCTAGGCTAAAATATGGCAAAAAAAGTTGCACTCTGCAATCAAACTAAAATAGATCAAATTTAAATTGTGATTAAAACACAAAGAAATATTTTTTTTAGAATACTGTTTTATCTTTTAAATATATTCTCGTGTCAGAGTCTTGCTGCAATGATTAGAAACTTCATATGTATCTAGAATAAATCTGTGATCAACAGTTGCTATTGTCATAATAATTGTATTTTTCAATGATTTGGATATTAATTTAAAAAGAGAGTTATTTAGCAAATGATAAAATTTTAGTATCAAATAATGTTTGATAATTCTCTTTCAAAGAGTTTTGAAATAAAATGTATATGGGTATGAACGTTAGCGTATAATTACTTCAAATAACTTTATGAATAAAAATATTTTTAAATCTATTTTATAGATTTTTGTAACAATATCAAATCTTTAAATGATTCTAACATAATAAGATAACTTATAAATATTGATAGAGTTGATATTTTTGACATGAATCTTAGTTCAATCTGTTGAAAAATATTGAAACTGATTGAGTTGAAATATTGAAATAAATGATTTTTTATTTGTATATTTTTTTAAACTTCAGTCGTTGTAAATTTTATATATTCTCAGAATAATTTGAAATTTTTTTTCAATCACCTGTGTATATAATATTCAAATCCTGACTTTTAATTTGAAAAAAAAACTTAAACTGAATTTCGAGCGCAAAATGAGAAATCAAAATTATAGAATATAGCTTAAAATTATTTCTTAAGTTTAAAAATCAAGAAAAAAATTATTATTTTATATTATAGATAAAAATTTCTAAATTTATTATTTTGATTCTGAGATCTGAAAAAGAATGAAAAAAATTCACAGAACATGCAAAAAGTTGAAAAAGTGTTTTTTTTCTTCATGAAAGAAATATGCAAAAATTACATGAGATTATGAAAGAATTACCAATCATTAACACGTTGACTTTGTGGAAAAATAAAATCTTCAATTTTAAGGACTTACGATATTTAAAAGTAAAAGTTTTGCCAGTGGAAAAAAATTGAATTTCGCATGTAATATTTATTAATCAAAACAATGAAGGATTGATTACTCACTTACAAGTTCATTCATGATTGAATGAACATGTTAATGAGTATACATGTTTTTCTATAATTATGATCACCTCAACATGAAAAAAATTAGATACATACTTTTTTTTCAAAAACATAATTTTATTTCATTTTTTGAAATTCAAAAAAGTGGAAGTTTAAATTTAAATTTAGATTTAAGGAAATGTGACTCGATTCCAATATTATTTAAAATACATTAGTTAATAGCGTTAAGTAGTAGTTAGTTCTTGAATATTTTTTTTGAATAAGTTAGTCATGACATTCAACACACAGTTTATTGCAAACATTAAAAAATTAAATGTTTATCTGCATCATAGGTGTTTGGAAATTTTGTCCATATATATGTATAACACATATTTTCAAAATAATTACTTCCAAATAAATTTATCAATAAAACTCTTTTTAAATTTATTTTGTAGATTTTTGTAACAATATCAAAATTATAAATGATTCTTACATAATAAGAAAACTAAATATTGATAGAGTTGATATTTTTGACAGAATCTAAGTTTAGTCTATTGAAAATTATTGAAACTTATTGAGTTGAAATATTTAGGTTAATGATATTTATTTTTATATTTATGTTTTTTTAAACTTCATTCGTTGTAAATTTTATATATTCTTAGAATAAATTGAAATTTTTCAATCAATTATCTGTTTGAATAATATTCAAATCCTGAATTTTAATTTGAAAAAAAAATTAAATCGAATTTCGAGCGGAAAATGAGAAATCAAAATTAAAGAATAAAGCAAAAAATGATTTTTTAAGTCTAAAAATGAAAAATATAAATAATTTTTTATAATATAGATTAATACTTATTTGTTTATTTATTTATATAAATTATTTTAATATTGTTGAAAGCAAATGAAAATAGCATAAGCATAAATCTGAGATCTGAAAAAGAATGAAAAAATTCACATAACATGCAGAAAGTTGAAAAAATGGTTTTTTTCTTCATGAGGTTTACTATGAATTGAAAGTATCTTAAAATCATCTCAAAATTATGAAGCAATGAATTATAAAATTTGAAAGAGTCCACATTTTTTTTAATGACCTTTTTTTTTTTAGCCAGTAGTTATAAAGCCAAATTTACAAGGAGCAAAATAACTCACATGAAATACTAACTTTACTTACATCTGTTATAAAATACATGGTGATGTTAAAATTTAGCAAAAAAAATACAGCTCATGATTTAAATGATTTAAATCTAAAATTTTACAATTCAGAATAAAACTATTTATTATATACAAGATATCAATATAAATGTGTGTTATATCAAACATTAGATCAACTTGAAGCAAGATTCAATCATACAAAATTCAAAATGTTTTTGTAATGATCTCACAATCTAATCGATGCATAAACTTAGATTCATAGCATTTTTTAGCCTTAATGTAAAAACTGATTATTTTTTATTGTCAAATTTTCAATATTTTGAAATTATTGAAACCATATAGTATATATAGTATACAGTATAAATTTAACTAAATTACCAAATTTATTTCACTATAAATTTGGCTATGAAAAAAATTTTACGTTAAGATCATCAGTGTATTCTTGCAATTACAACTGAAGTTGCACATAATATACTTGTGATCCTCAATTTCACATCCAATAATTATATCAAATATTAATTCATATCATCTAAAAAAATTTGATGACAGAATTTCTAAAAATAAGAAAATTTGCAATTTTATTTCTCATTGAGAGAAATAATTTGACTAGAATCATATTTCAAATTTGAATGGAAACACATATGCAAAAATTACATTAGATTATGAAAGAATTGTCAATCATTAACACCTTAAATTTGTATAAAAGTAAAATCTTCAATGTTGAGTACTTACGATATTTAAAAGTAAAATTTTTCCAATGAAAAAAATGTGAACGTCGCAAGTAATATATATATTAATCAAAACAATGCAGGATTGATTATTCATCGTACAAGTTCATTCATGATTGAATGAACATGTAAATGAGTATACATGTTTTTCTATTATTAAGATCACCTTAGATGAAAAAAATTAAATTTATATTTTTGTTCAAAAAAAAATTTAACTAATTTTTTGAAATTCAAAAAATTTTAGGAAGTTTAGATTTAAATTTAGATTCAATGAAATGTGACTCGATTCCAAGATTATTTTAAATACATTAGTTACTAGCGTTAACTATTAGTTAGTTCTTGAATATTTTTTATGAATTACTCATGACATTCAACATTTAGTTTTTTGCAAACATTAAAAAATTAAATGTTTATCTGCATCATAGGTGTTTGGAATTTCTTTTCCATATATATTTCTAACACATATTTTCAAACAGCATTAAAAATAATAAGTAATTATTTTTTATTAAAATTTTGTATAACTAAAAATTATTAATAAGGTCAGAAAA